TATTGAACAGGAGACGGGTGTGCGCAGCCTCCGCGTGGACCGCGGAGCGTGCAAGATCGTTGCGACTGGCACGCAGGCCTCCGTGGAGGAGGCGGTGCGGCGCTACACGGAGCTGCTCGCTGACATCCGCCGGTCGTCGCTCGTCATCCGTTGCGACAACGCCATGACACGCCTCGTCCTGGGGGCGAGGGGGCGCACGGTGCGCGGGATCGAGGACGCCACGGGCGCGGCGGTGCGAGTCGGTGACGATCGCATCACGCTGCACGGATCCGCGCAGGCGGTGGAGGCGGCGCGGGCGATGATACAGGACCTGCGCCGTGAGGAGGCGCGTGTGCCGCTTGACCCGACGATGATGCAGCTGCTCACAACCGCACTGGTTGAGGTCAATAGAGCTCCTGCAGCCGTCAAGCAGCAGGACGAAGCGGAACGGGCGGACACAGAAGAGCAAAGGAAATTGAATCATGAAGAAGTAGAGGAAGAAGAAGGAGGTGCAGGGGAGGCGCCGAAGCCGCACGAGGAAGGGAACGACAACGGTGAAGGTGCGGGTGCATGCACCATCATGCTCACACCGCTGCAGGCGATCCAGCAGACGTCACAGTGCGAGTTCATGACGCCACTGCGCGCAGAAGGTGTGGTTCTGCTGCGCGGGAAGCAGGAGTGTGTCAACCAGGCGCGTGTGATGCTGAAGGACTTTGCGCTGCGTTGCCGCCCGCACGCCATGCACATCCCCTTTTCTGAGGTTCTCTTCACAGCCCTTACGCGGCCACGCGACCACGCGCCATCGATAATGCAGCAGCTGGCGCGAAGCCATTCGTCGCTGCTGCGAGTGCAACTGAAGCGCGAAGAGGAGGTGGCGGTCGTCACGTCGCCCATTCTCGAGGAGGTGGAAGCGGCGGCGAAGACGCTGCGTGATTTCATTGTGGCGAAGACGGCGACGTCGGTGCGTTGCGTGCGGGACTTCCCGCCACACCGCATCGGGCTGCTGATGGGCACCAGCAGCAGGAACCTGAAGGCGCTTGAGGAGCGCACCGGCACCCACATCGCCGTGCGGCGGGCCGCTGGCGAGGTTCAAGTGTTTCGCGACGACGGCGACGAGGAGGCACTGGCTGCCGCCGTAGATGCCGTCACGGCTCTCGCAAAGGAGTCGAAGTGAGGCCGAGACCCTGACATGAAACATTTTTTTTCTTTTTGCTGGCTTTCTATATAGTTCTTATGATGGCTGACGTCACTCTCGTTGCAGGTAGTGAACGGGAAGACAAAAAGGAACGGAGAAAAAACGTGCAGGGATGTTGTGCGCTGTAATATTGCAGGCGCGCCCATAGTGTGCGGCGAAGTGGTGTTTTCTATAGCAAGAAGTGAGCTTGTGAGTAGGACAAACTGGGAGCGACTGTGGTATCATGCAAAGACTCCCCCTCTCTCTGTCTCTCTCTCGCACACACACGCACATACAACAACCACTTACACTGTTTGCTTCGTTGTGCAAGCGTGAAGCTGCTCCGCCATCTCCATTCTTATCTTGTTTTCTCTTTATCAATTTCTCTGTCTGTCTGCGTGTGGAGCAGGTGGATCGTATCGGGGCTGGGCCGAGCCGCTCGGGGAGCGGAGTCATGTACGAGTACGATGACCAGCAGATGAAGGAGGAGGTGCAGCAGGCGCAGGCCGCCGCGGTGATTCAGCGGCGCTGGCGCGAATTCTTCGCCCGTCGTGAGGAAGATGTCGAACTACGCCGTGGGAAGGCCTCTGTTGCTGCTGCTGCTGCTGCTGCTGCCGCCGCCGCCGTCGCGGAGGAATCTGGGCGGGAGTCGGGCGAGGCGGAGCCGGAGGCGCTACTGCACGACTACACCTGCCTGCTAGAGCGGCGCGAGGATATTGTCGCGCGAAGCCTCATGTGCCAGCGGCAGCTCGCACGCCACTTCGCGGCGCAGCGGCAGCGCAAGGGCGAGGAGCCCCCGCAGTCGG